CTGTTAGGGATAACAAGAAGTGCTTCAACAAATACATCAATAGCAAAAGGAGGGGAAGGAAAACCTCCATTCTTTGTTGGACATAGGGGGGGAAATAGTCACCAAAGATGAGGAAAAGGCTGAGGTACTTAACACCTTCTTTGCCTCAGTTTTCAACAGTAAGACATGTTGTCCTCAGGACAGCTGGCTTCCGGAGCTTGTAGACAGAGACAGGAAGCTGAGTAGCCCCCCTGTAATCCAGGAGGAAACAGTTGGTGACCTACTGAACCACTTGGATCCTCACAAGTCTCACAATGGGACCAGATGGGATCCATCCTAGTGTGATGAGGGAGCTGGTGGAAGAGCTCACCAAGCCACTCTCATCATTTACCAACAGTCCTGGCTCACTGGGGAGGTCACAGATGATTGGAAGTTGGCAAATCGTCAAGCTGATCCACAAAAGGGGCTGCAAGGAGGACCTGGGAAACTACAGGTCAGGCCTGTCAGCCTGACCTCAGTGCCTGGCAAGGTTATGGAGCAGATCATCCTAAGTGCAATCACACAACAGCTACAGGATGGACAACGGATCAGACCCAGCCAGCGCGGGTTTAGGAAGGGCAGGTCCTGTCTGATCAATCTGATCTCCTTTTATGATCAGGTGACCCACCTGGTGGATGAGGGGAAGGTTGTGGATGTAGTCTGTCTGGACTTCGGCAAAGCCTTTGACACTGTCTCCCACAGCATAGTCCGGAAAAAACTGGCAACCCACGGCTTGGACAGGGGCACTCTGTGCTGGGTTAGGAACTGGGTAGAGGGCCGGGCCCAGAGAGTGGTGGTGAACGGGGCTGCATCCAGTTGGTGACCGGGCACTAGTGGTGTCCCCCAGGGATCAATGTAGTGTACCATTAGCAAATTTGCAGATGACACCAAGTTGGGGGCTGTGTTGGTCTGCTGGAAGGCAGGAGGGCTCTGCAGAGGGACCTGGACAAGCTGGAGAGATGGTGTGATTCCGACGGGATGAGGTTCAACAAGGCCAAGTGCCGGGTCCTGCACTTTGGCCACAACAACCCCCTGCAGCGCTACAGGCTGGGGACTGAGTGGCTGGAGAGCAGCCAGACAGAGAGGGACCTGGGAGTTTGGATTGACAGGAAGGTGAACATGAACCAGCAGTGTGCCCAGGTGGCCAAGAAGGCCAAGGGCATCCTGGCCTGGATCAGGAACAGTGTGGCCAGCAGGACCAGGGAAGTGATTCTTCCCCTGTACTCAGCCCTGGGGAGGCCACACCTGGAGTACTGTGTCCAGTTCTGGGCCCCTCAGTTCAGGAAGGATATTGAGGTGCTGGAGCAGGTCCAGAGAAGAGCAACAACGTTGGTGAAGGGACTCGAGCACAAGTCCTATGAGGAGAGGCTGAAGGAGCTGGGGTTGTTTAGCCTGGAGAAGAGGAAGCTCAGGGGAGACCTCATCACACGCTACAACTCCCTGAAAAGAGGTTGTAACCAGGTGGGGGTTGGTCTCTTCTCCTGGGGAACCAGCAGTAGGACAAGAGGACACAGTCTTAAACTGTGCCAGGGGAAGTTTAGGTTGGATATTAGGAATAATTTTTTTATGGAGAAGAGTAATCAGACATTGGAATGGGCTGCCCAGGGATTCACCGTCCCTGGAGGTTTTTAAGATGAGTCTGGATGTGGCACTTAGTGCCATGGTCTAGTAACCACAGTGGTGTTGGATCAAGGGTTGGACTTGATGCTCTCAGAGGTCTTTTCCAACCTGGTTGATTCTATTTATCTGTATTATTGCTTAAATGTATTTTTCATTAGTTAGTATTGGTGAAATAATCAGTGCAATTGTTTCTGCTTACAGTTTCAGTTTTAGTGAATAAACTACTTGTTTAACTTGTGCAAACATGTTGAAGGTATTGAATTTTAAGGCAAAAACACTGTCTGGAAAGGGAACACTGACAAAGTCATTCAAAAGGGAAAAGAAGAATAATTTATAAAAGGAACTGTAGCTAATGATGCCATCCACTTGCTTTAAAGTTCTTCTACCTCACCTTTAATGAATTAGATTTGTCAACAGCATATATTTTATGCACTACTTCTAATGAAGTGGCATACCAGCACTGCAGTGTACTTTGAGGATTATTCCATCAAAGCTTTTTGCTGTCGTAAAGTAGACCTTTTTAAATAATAGATACTAAAAACTACATTTAAATAGCATTAAGGTTGTGACACAAACACCAAATGACAAACTTCAGGCAATTCAAAGTTAGAGCTGACAACTTGTCATTACCTTGCACTGTCATTTCTTAAAAAATAAGCACAATTGCATGATTTAAGGATTGAATGTCAGACTAACTTTAAATTTCTTGCCTTTTGTGGGCTGGAGTTACAACCTTTCTGTCATTTTTTATACAGGTTTTTTTTGTATTGTGTTTTCAGAAAAATAATAAAAGCAGTGGAAACAATACGGGCTTTATTGGCTTTGTTTTTAAACACAGATGAGAGAGTATTGGTTAAAGAGCGGGGGCTATCTTGTTACCAAACTTACATGCATAAGTATGTACATGTTCTCTTAAACTTCCTTTGCTTTTTTCTTTGCTGATACTTCTATGGAACTTATGAGTTACAGGAACCTTAGTCCTGGGTTACTTTAGCTAAACCCCCAGAAAGTACTAAGAGTTCCCAATTCTTTTCCGTGTAAATAACCACTTTCTTTTTAGTGGCCAGTACTGAATAAACCAAGAGGATGTAGAGTATGTAGAAAGACTTGTTAAAGGAATTTTAATTACTTAAAATAATGTGAAATAAAAGCAGGTGAACAGTTTCTGTTATTTTTTACATATGATTTCTCATTTTGTTGCTGTTAAACGTAATGGAACTTTCTGTTCAGGTAAGTTAGCATGTGCGTGTAAACACAATCCTCTCAATCCCTCTGTAGAGATGATTTCTCAAGGTCTGTAAGTATAGTGAAGGCAATCCATTATTTTCATCATGGTTTTGTCAGCTTCATCTGGCATAGACTGGCACTGCTGCCAAGTGGTCAGGCATGCACCAGTCACTCACTTCAGTCACCTGCCCCATGCCACCATCAGTGCTTATTCAGCTGCCTCGTAAATAGAGATAAATAGTCTTGCACTGGCCAAGTGGCTGCTACAGAATGTTGGTAGGATCCTGTGGAAAAAAGGTCAGAAAATGTGGCCTCTCTTTCAAGTAGTCTGAATCTCTTTTCTTAGTACAGTCAATCAGTTTCTCTTAATTTCTTTTTATTGTGTTGCCATGAATGCATAATAGCACAAAAACCTAACTTTAATAAAAATTTGTGATAATTTAAAAAAGAATTGGTTTAGCAAGCTGTATCATCCACTGGTACAGATAAAGAAGCAGATTGTTTGAAATAAGAATAGTAGTCTCCATAATGTTTTTAATTCTTAAGATGCCATTTGACTGGGAACATGTAAGTTATGTCAGGTAATGCAGATATAGGGAGTAATGAGGAATACAGTTCTCTTTGTTCTTTTCCTGTAATAAACTTATCTCTGGTGCACACTGCAATGGAGAAAGAAAGTGGAAAAATCATTCCAGTCTGCCTTGCTACTAAAAATCAAAGGATTCGTTCAATGCCATTACATGATACCCACTTGCAAAGCTATTGACTTTTGATTCACTTATTTGGAACAAACTTAAAGTTTCTGAATAATTTTTAGCTCCAAAGATTAGCATAAGAGTGTTGTGATATTACTGCTTACCTAGAAAAAATATGTTGTTTCAATAGATGCTTCACCCCTTTTGTATCCCTGAACACTTTCTTCCTTATTCAGAATATGTGCCTTTAACTACTTTTCTCATTGGATATTTTGTTTGTGTTTGTAACATCCTCAAAACTGTTTCACAGAGGTGTACAAGTGAAAGGAATCTTGGCTCAGGAATCTTGTTGGCTGGGTCACAAAAAACACAATTTATCTTACAGATTAATAGAATAGAGTTGAAACTCTAAGGTTCACTGTTGGGCTCTTATATAAAAATAATTTGCTTCTGAAGGATATTCATGCTTCTGAAGGATATTTTGCTAGAGTTATTACTATACTCGGTTTTAGGCAGTTAAACCAAAAATATATAGATTAAAACTTAAAAATTTGATTGTAATATAAATTTCCAACTTGAATATTACGTGGCTTATTAATTTTTTATTTTTTAAGAACAGTTGTAAAATTCTTTAAAATTAATATAAGGGAAAAGAAATTTGCTAAAATATTAATATGACCCTAGGAAAAAAATTTTACTCCTTTAGTTTGTGATGTTCCCCTCTCTTTCTAGAAACTTGAAATGTAGTCTTCCTTCAAAACAACCAAAAATTGATCTTTAGTTTTCAACCAGGTTTTGTTCTGAAGTAATAGGCAAGTAGTGCACATTGTTTACACTGTAGTGTCACTTTGTGGCTGGTTGCACAACTCATTTAAGTCTTGTAATTATGTAAGAAATAATACAGTGCATGGTGTTCACTTATAAGATATTTATGAACACTTGCTCTCTTAATCGTGAAACCAAAGGCTAAGCGCTTTCTGCACCAGAGAATTTAATATAAATTTTACAGCAGTCGTTTAAGGTAGGCAGGAGGAACCCCTTTCTGCATCACAAATCAGCTGATTGTCTTTCCTTCTTGCACAGTAATTTATGACCTGGTCTTGTTCCAAAGAATGATTTCTTTTCCCCTGTGTGAATGCATTAAGTAATGATTCATTCTCTCACCTTTTTACACTCTTACCTTTATCATGTTTTGAAATAGTATTCTTGATACAGCATCTTCCCAGAAGAGATAGCTGAATGTATTAAAGATGAGTATTCTTGCATAGTACCCACATGGCATTTCTATGGCATATATAGATCAATAGTGTAGAGGTAAACGAACTTAGCCATGAATACAGGATGTTTCTTTTGTGAGCTGACAGCTCAGGACTCTTAGTTGCCCTATGATAAAGCTGGAGTGTGAAAGTATAGTTTAAGATGTCTTTGAGAAGAAGGAAATTCCTTTCACAGTAACTATTCCTTTATTTTCCTTTCTTTCTTCTTCAACAGCAATGGAAAGATATTGTGGATAAGTATTCTTTAAAATTGCTTCTTGGTTATGCTTTTTTTTTTTTTTTACTTTTGTAGCATTGTAGTTGAGATGACTTGCACATCCTGCCAAGAAATAAAGATATAAAATCTTAAAAGTTATCAGGTAAGACAAAATGGGTAAAAATATAGAGAAGGTGCTCTGGGAATATAAAGGCTACCTCTGAGAAACTAGATAAAAAAATCATTTATATATGAATTGTGAATTAGTAAGAAGGTCCTGTCTTAAGATTTATTTTTTTTATCTTCCATGATAGTTACAGAATTCCAAGCCAGTTAGACACAAGATTTAGTTTTGCACAGTTATTTTGGTTACCATTAACTAGATGTGGTGCAGACCTACTTTCATATCAATCAGTATATTTGTACTTTAATATACTGTTCTACAGATGCCTTTCCTATCTCCTATTTCTGTTCTGTTTGGTAGTGCTTAAACCTGAAATGATATATAACCTGTGCTTTTTTAATGCATAAAGCTAGCTTGTAGCAGTTATGAGTTCTGCTCTGAATACAAACTGTTAGTTAGTTAGAAGTCAAGACATAGTCAAGACTAAGCACTGCACCTAAAGAGGCTTAAATCAATGTCCTTTTGATTAAAACTGACAATACCATTGGTCTGTGTGTTACTTATATTTTTTTTTCTCCTTAAGTGATATTTGATCAGATACTTTTTTTTAGAATAAAAGAACATACAGATCTGATCTGATGCAGACCTGTGGTAGAATCAATATTCTGCTGAGTATCAAGATTGTTCTTTGACTAGCCATACTAAAGGAGAAGAGTACGGTAAGCTCTTAAAACTCTTACTCTTCACTAGGAAGGAAAACAGAAATAAAAGGCAAGCAGGAGGATGTCTGGCCATGAAGATGAGTGAGTGATCATGAAGAGCCAGTTGTCAGCCCAAACTGTTAAAAGAGCACTAAAAGGCTGCTTTATTAGTAGCAAGTATAATTCTCTTGCTGTGGAACTCTAAACACCATCTATGCATATACCTCTGCATTTTGTTGTGATTTTATAGATTCATCAAAGGTTGTTTTGGTATATGCTGACTAGTTACCAAAGAATCTTTTGAACTGGCTTTGGTTAGTCTTGAATTAGCCCCATGCATGAGACAGTAATTTGAGGTATTTAAACAAATGTTTCCCATGAGGCTTCTGATGGGAAGCAATTGTGATCTTTTAAAAGCAATTTTTTTTTTTACTTGAAACTGCTGGCTTCTTTAAACATGACAGTTGTTGGTGAGCTAATCCTGTGAGTCAATCTACACTAAACAAGAAGCTTATCTCAAACCCTTGGCAGCTTCAGTGAAAATTCGAAAGGATGCTTTACAGTAGAGATTGTCAAGAGTGGAACTAATATTTGTCCAGTTGGACAGCTTGCTTTTGTAGTCACTAAATGAAAGTTGAGATTCTGTCTCTTCCTTGAAAGCATCTGTGTCAAGAAAATAATTTGGACTGTTTGTGGTTTGACAGGGATTATTAAAATCAGATGAAGTGAAGGGAAGGAAGTGTAAGAAAGCAAAATTGACAGTGACACTCTCTACTACTTGCAGCTTGGATCATGATGACTATGTTGATATGATAGGTTCTAAATGTTAGGTTCACTGTGGGGATGTGTTAAGCAGCAAATACAGTAAAGTGCAGTTATAGATGATTTTTCTGACTTAAAGCCATCTGGCATTTATTTTCATTGGGAAATTTGGGAGGAGAAGTGTAGAAGAAAATGAAATATTAGAGGGGGCAAACAGAAGGAAAAAGGGAGTGGTTCAGAAAGAATTTAATTTTCTCCTTTGTGATTTATCTCTCTTTTTATTTTTATTTTTTTTTTTTTTTAGTTCATACAGCTTGCTAGTGTACTTCAGAGAGAATAAGACTGAGGATTAAGAACTGATGGAACAGGTCATAAAATTTCTTTTTGCATTGACTTGAATTTGGTAGGAATTTTTTAGCATTAATAGTTTTGCTTAAAGTGAGCTGAAGTCTTAGATTGCTGTTTCACATCAATTTTTCATGACTTGCATCTTGCATGCTATTTTTAAATAGTGATCTCTGCCACTTCAAGATAAATAATTTAAAATCTCAAATTATTGCAATATTCATATAGCTGAATTTTTAATTGCTGGAGATACATTAACTGCCAACTGTATGCATCTTTTGGTGTCTAATGAATATACAATGTATTATTTAATTTTAGTCCTTTGTTTAATCTCTTAGTTGTATAGGTAAACTTTCAATTCTGAATAGGCAAGTTAGTGCAGAAGTAAGACATCTGATTAGTGAAGTTTGAAAATGCTCTCATTTCTGTGTGGTTTCCTTTTCTGTTTTCCAATATGGAAACTTTGCAAAAAATTGTATTTTGGGACAGTTTTTAGTGTAGAGTAGATTTTTAGTGTAGTGTAGATTTTATAGGAAATTAGGGAACTCAAAGGAAAAGAGGTGACACATGAAAGCCTTTGCTGTTATTTAGCATAACCATAACTTCATATCTTTCAAACAATGTCATGCAACATTTGAACAGTTAAGCCATGCCAGCATCTCATCTTCACCTATATTCACATTAGAGAGAAGCATATTAGCATCCATAGTGATTCATCTAGCAGAACAAAAGGATTATGGGGAGCAGAATGACTGAGAGAAAAGAGGTTACGTAGAGTTGCAGACTTGCAAAATAAAGGCTGTCATGAGAAGAGATGGTGGTATTGAAAACACAGTGGGGACAGTGGTAAAGGAGGGGCTCTGGTAGCAGAGCACACAGAACTTGAGATGTGACAGGAGGGTGCTGGACTGTGATATGGGCTGGATGGGGAAATGGGAAACACAGACAACTATGCTAAAATAAGAGAGGATTGAAAATGTTTGTAAGGGACAATCTTAGAGAGAAGTACATATCCGTCTACATACCTTCACATTTACTTCTGTATCTATGTCACTGCATGTTAACCTACCTGCTTGATCTAGGAAACCCAGCAGGTGTAATCTTTTTGGACTTCAGCAAAGCTTTTCATACTGTCTCTCACAGTATCCTTCTGGGCAAAATGTCCGGTATACAACTGGATAACTGTGTTATGCAATGGGTGAGCAACTGGCTCACAGATTGGTCACAGAGAGTTACAGTGACATCAGGCTGGCAAACGGTTGCTAGTGGGGTTCCACAGGGCTCCCTTAGGCCCTGTCCTCTTCAACATCTTAATTAATGACTTGAACGCAAAATTCAAAGGAATACTAAGGAAATTTGCCGATGACACTAAACTGGGAGGAGCTGTCAGCTCTCTTGTGGACAGAGAGGACCTGCAGAGAGACCTTGACAAATTAGAGAGATGGGCAATCACCAACCATATGCACCTGGGATGGGGAAACCTTGGATATGCGTACGTACTGGGAAGTGAGAGGCTGGAGAGCAGCTCCATGGAAAGGGACCTGGGGGCCCTGGCAAGTTGAATATGAGTCAGCAGTGCCCTGGCAGCCAGAAGGGCCAACCGTGTCCTGGGGGGCATCAGGCACAGCATCACCAGCCAGTCGAGGGAGGTGATTGTCCCGCACTGCTCTGCACTGGTGCAGCCTCACCTTGAATATTGTGGCAGTTTTGGGCACCACGATAAAAGAAAGACATAAAGCTATTAGAGAGTGTCCAGAGGAGGGCTACAAAGATGGTAGAGGGTCAGGAGGGGAAGCCGTCTGAGGAACAGCTGAGGTCACTTGGTCTGTTCAGCCTGGAAGAGACTGAGGGGAGACCTCATGGTATTCTACAACTTCTTCACAAGGGGAAATGAAGGGACAGGCACTGGTCTCTTCTCTCTGGAGACCAGAGAAAGGACTCAAGGAAATGGCATGAAGTGGAGGTTTAGTTGTTTAGTTTAGATATCAGGAAAAAGCTAGAAGGTGGTTTAGCACTGGAACAAACTCTCTGGGGAAGTGGTCACAGCAGCAAGCCTGACGGAGTTCCAAAAGTGTTTGGGCAATGCCCTCAGGCACATGGTGTGATTCTTGCAGTGTCCTGTGCAGGACAGGAGTTGGACTCGATGGTCCTGATGCGTCCCCTCAGAATATTTATGATTCTATGATTCAGTGGTGGTATTCTTTAGATGCTTTGTGTTCACAAGTACTTTGAAGTGCATAAATAAACAATTATCCCAAATTATAGTATTCTTGAGTAGAAGAGCATTTAAAATTCAGCTTACAGTTGGTATTAACTTACTCTAGGCTAATTAGGGTTATGGGAGAGCTGCCTTTCCTGAATATGCAGATTTTACCATGTTACTCAGCCAAATGCCTGTAATTTTGAAAATATCCCTATTCTTTTGGAATCCATCTCTTGTTTCCTGGTGTCTAGTATACATCAAAGGGGAGATTAGTTGAATCAAGCTATATTTTCTACTGTCTATTGTCTGTGGAATGAGTCTTAAGGGCAAGGAGAGGGAAATAATAAACTCAAAAACTACCATTTCAGTATTTGCAGTGTTTTCAAGTATAAAAAGTAAGATAATTGTTTAGAGGTTCAGAACACACCAGATCAGAGGAGATGCTCCTGGCAACAGTGAATATGAATTATTTTGTAAACTTCCAGAGTTAATGTCAGATTCCTCATTGCTTGTCCATGTTAGCATGTAATAGTTGTACTGTTTTATTTGTAATATCAACAATGGAAATGCATGTCACAATTCATACAATGTAGTATTTTTACTGCAAGTGTAATACACATTTACATTTTGGTATAAGGTAGTCTGTGAAGATGTAATTTAATATTTCAGTTCCTACTGAGATGTGTAATTCAGCTTACATTCCTTTCCTTGTGTAATTAATTTTTAGAGCAGAGCTTTCAGTTGTGGCGAAGGTGTGTTTTTATGATTTTTTCTTTAAAGAATTTAATGTACACCAGTATTTGTAATTAGCAGAAGTTCTCTTCCCAGTTCTTCCTCCCTGCAAAGATTAATTCATACAAATGTAAGGGAAAGGGCTTGGAATCTTTTACGGAGAAATGGAGATGAGGATACCAAAGGCTTTTGGTGGGCCTCTACAGAGGCCACGGTCAGCAGAATCTACTCTACACAGTGATTAAACACTTGTTGATTTCTAAGGGTTGCTCTCCCCTTTACATTTCTGCCAGTGTTTTGTGTAAAGGGATGATTTGTTTTGGTAGTATGTAGTGGCTTTTGTTCCTAGAACCACTAGAGTTAGAAACTAGTGCTATATTTTGGTAAAATATTAGTCTCCTGCCTTTTTCTAATACTAGCTGTTAATAGCTTGTTGGAATAGTAAAATAATGTAAGCAGAAGAAAAATTGTAAAGTGAGGACATTATACTAAATAAGCATTTTCAGTAGTTTTAAAACTTCTTGGTAGGATGTCAAAGTGAAGTAAATTTCCACATTTCAGAACTCAAGTAAGTGAAATGAAGTTGAATAAAAAGTACATGAAAAACAAAAGCATTTTGTATTTTTCTCTATTAAATGTTACTCTCCCATCATAATTATTTTTATACCATAGAGGATCATCTTCTTATTTATCTAGCAGAGACTCCTGTATCTGTTACAAGGGTTTTGAGAAAATACTGAGATCTCTTAGTAGTTTTGAACTGAGAATTTTTTAACACTGAGAAGCTCTTGAAATTAATACTTGAAGAAAGGGATTCTGTTACTAAATTATGTTCGTCTTCAGTAGCACAAATAACATCCAGATTCACTAGTTATATCTTTTTAACAAGTTAAATGAGAGAGAATTAGAGTTATTTTCTGGCACCTATTCTGGTATCTGTTATAATGATGCAAGCCTGATTACTTACTTGCATATTAAGAAGGGGTCTGAAGTTGCAGCCTGGAACTATGGATGATTGAAGTTATATCTGAGAAATAAATGACAAAAAATTTAGTCAAGATCAAGAGTAGAATTCGTGAGAAAAGACAATGAATATGTCGTATTGAGAAATACGGTTACTTCAAATGAGGATGTTCCCATCAGTCAAGGTGAGGTGCAGCAGTTCATGTGACAGTTCACGTAAGCAGGGCATGTAAGAAGGCACAGTCATCCTCCCAGCTCCTGAGGCAAGCTCCCCTAGTGGTTTTTGCTTACCTAGCTAGAGCAGGCCCAAAAATGGATTCCACGTAGTTGAAAGCTGTTGCTAGAAGGAGAGTGGTGACCTCAGAAGCATGCAGCTGTCCAGGTCTCCAGCTGCAGGGAGTGTTTGAGCCTGGTTTGTTTGTCTGTGACCAGGTGGATGGTCTGCTCAGCCTAGTGGCAGAGCTTGAAGAGGAAGTGGAGAGGCTGAGGAGTATCGGGGAGCGTGAGAGAGAAATATGCTGGTGGAGTCACATGCTTCCATCCCTGAGAGAAATGCTGCAGGTGGAAGCTTGGCAAGAGTCAGAGGAAACCTGATGCTCTCTCCATCAGGCAGAAGGAGGAGAATGGAAGCAGGTCCCTAATGAGGTCAGCAGAATAATCTTCTCCCAGCCTCACTTGCCTTTCCAAGTTGCACTTACGGGATAGGTATGAGGCTCTGAAACTTGAGAGTTGGGCAAATGATAGTGAAGGTGAAGGTCTAGAAGGTCTACCCTGGGGGTTGCCCAGAGCAAGTCAGTCAACCAGATGCATTACAATTACACCTTTTAAGAAGGAAAGAAGGATAGTTGTTGTAGGTGACTCCCTTTTGAGAGGAACTGAGGGCCTATATGCTGACTGGACCCATCCCACAGGGAATTTTGCAGCCTCCCTGGGGTTTGGGTAAGAAATATTACTGGAAGACTCCCAGGACTTATTCAGCCCTCTGGTTATTACCCACTTTGGGTTGTCCAGGTCAGCAGGAAGAGATCGAGAAGTCCTAGGACAATTAAAAGGTCTTTAGGACACTGGTGACTGGTTGAAGAGACAGGAGCTCAGGTGGTGTTTTCCTCAATCCTTTTGGTAGCAGGGAAGAATGTTGAAAGGAACAGGAGGACCCACCTGAATCAACACATGGCTTAAAGACTAGTGCCATCAGGGGAATTTTGGCTTTTTTGGTCATGGAGCAGTTTATACAGCACCCAGCTCACTAGAGACAGGTGGTGTTGACCTGTCTAGAAGGGGGAAAAGGATTCTAGCCCATGAGTTGACAAGGTTGATTGAGAGGGCTTTAAACTAGGTTTGAAGGGGGAAGGGGATAAGACTGGGCTCACTAGACATGAGCCTGGAGGCAGTCTGCCAGCATTGGGGATGAAATCAATAGCCCAGCTGAAGTGCGTCTATACCAATGCACACAATAAGGGTAACAAACAGAAGGTGCTGGAAGCCACTGTGCAGCAGGAAAGCTATGCCATAGTGACCATCACAGAAACATGGTGAAATGACTGCATAACTGGAGTGCAGTGGATGGTCAGGAGCTCTTCAGAAGGGTCAGGTGAGGAAGGAGAGGCAGTGAGGGGGCTCTCTACATTACAGAAGTGTTTTGACCATATAGAGCTCAAGGATAGTGATGATAAGATTGAGTGCCTATGGGTAAGATTCAGGGGGAAGGATAACAAGGCTTTCTGGTGGGACTGTTACAGATCACCCAATCAGGTTGAACAGGCATATTAAGTATTCTATAAGCAGCTGGCTGATGTTTCATGACTTCCAGACCTTGTTCTTGTGGGAAATTTTAGCCTGCTGGATGTCTACTGGAAACTCAGCACGGAGAGGAGGCAGTCTAGGAGGTTCCTGGAATGTGTGGAAGATAACACAGTGGTAAGAGAGCCTCTTGGGGTAGTGCTCTGCTAGACCTGCTGTTTGTGAAGAGAGATGTGGTGGTCAGAAGCCATCTTGGGCGTAGCAATCACAAAATTATAGTTTTTGACTCTTGATAAAGTAAGGAAGGGGGTCGACAAAGCCTCTATCTTGAACTTCTGGAGGGCAGACTTTGGCCTGTTCAGGACACTGGTTTGGAGAGTCCCTTGGGATACAGCCCTTAATAACAAAGGGATCCAGGAAGGCTGGAAAGACAGTAATCTTAAAGGTGCAGGAGCAGGCCATCCCTGTGTGCTGAAAACCAAGCCACTGGGGAAGAAGATTGGCCTGGCTGAACAAGGAGATTTTGCTGGAACTTGGTGGGGGGG